TATTGATAAATAATATTTCAAATACACGAAGTTGATCTCATAATAAAATTAATGAATACTATTAATACAACAATTATCAGTCGATTATATAATATTGATAATATTATTTTATTTGAATTTCATATAGTGAAATATAAAATACAAATAAATAAATAGTATATAAAATTAATTTAATGTCATTCGTCAATTTTCAATGTCACCCTACCCATACTATTTATTAAATGGATATAGTTACTTTTTATAATACATTTATTCAACATAACCACGATACATTTCTCTATATTTTACATACTAGGCATTTTTTATTTTTGTGATAATATTTAAATTCAAAACAATTTATTCAAAGTTTATAATGTTAAAAAATTTAACTCTATTCATTCATATTATATGACTTAGTCTTTTGAACAATCTTTTTTTCAGAGTTTCGACTCTTGACGTCTAACCACGCGACTTACTTTGTCATCGTTTGCATTAGATTTTTGCAATTAGTATTTGTTGTTTTTATAGTCATAAACGAACATCTTCTTATAATAGACTTAGGAAAAATTGCTTATTATTATACTCGAGTTATTGGAATTTGCAGTATTTGGCCTAAACTGAATATTCAACGACATCTCGCATTTTGCCCAGTAAATAACACGTGTGGTATAATCTACTATTAGTCAGGAAATAACATATTTACCAAATTCAATGTAAATGTGCGATCAGAAACATATGAAAATCTGTTCAAAATTTAAAAAAATACATTTCACCAAATTCATATACCTAAGTAGTGGACACTATTTTGAAAAACAATGTTAGTGATGTTAACTTTGCCATAGGAAACACGTCAAGGGGTAGCCACCAATAGAGATGGTATGTTACAGTATATTTAAATTGAATAGGTTAAGTTAAACCTCAGTTTTAGGACTAAAATAACTAGAATTATTTAAAATTATGTTTATTCCAACATACTATGAGAATTAATTGCCGAAAAATAATATACAAAATCCAATTCAACCAGCTTGAAATATACGTTTTAAAATTCCATTTCATGTATTTATGTTAATACTGTTAATTGGTATAGGTACTAGGTAGTAGATACCTATTTTAAATCATGTGAATGACTATTGTATGTATGAATACAATTTTAAGTTTTCAATTAGACATCAAAATATGATTACCTATATTATAATACATACATGAGAAGTTGTATTTCACTAAGAGTTGAGTGGTATAAAATTGAAACAATATAATTTATACTACTCGTATATTCTCTGTGTCATATGATATAAACTATATATTCATACATACTTACATATACATAGGTATATTATATATATATATTGTATTTGTGTAAGTCTTGATCTCGTCAATTGTTCGAAATCCAAAAACGTTGCAGATGTCTGAGTCCGGGGTGAAGTGAGACGTTGAGTCACACTTGGTGGTGTGTGATGTTCTCTCGTCTCCGTGTCTCCCTCTGACAGTACTCTCCGCCCACCATGGGATGATTGATGATATCCTATCTTCTTTATAGCCCCATTCGAAGGAGAGTGAAAAAATATATGTGAACGCACGCACGCACGCGCGTGTGTTACGATATACAACGAGTCCCATCAAACAGCAAAAGCCCACTACGCGCCGTTATAGATATATATTATGTGTGTGTGTGTCAGTGTTTATGTGTGTGTGTTACTGTCAAGGGAGGACGTGGCGTGCGAGTGGATACGTATTTATATATTATATATATAAATGGTGTGTGTGTATGTGTGTGTGTGTGTGTGTGTGTTTGGGGTCTAAAGACACGCTGAACGTTTTGTGGCTAATTGTTGCGATTTAGTGTCCCTGACGGTAATAAATTGATTTTGACAGATGGCTCAATTTACTATAATAATAATATGCTCTATATTATGTCACTGCTGTTGATGTATTATATAAGTCTTGCCCGCTTGTAAGATCATTGTTGTAATACCGATGTTTGTCGCTTAGCTGTAAAATGTTATGAAGTATATGAACGGATAATTTTCGAGTGGTTATAATACATTATTGGTGACTTAAATAGTTTTTGCTGCGTATGTATTTTATTTATAAATTTAAGTTATATTATTTGTTTCTATATTATTGAAATAACTAATATAATTAATCATACGGTTAGTTGATATTTGATAGATAGTATAATAGTGTATGATTGTATATGTATGTGTTAGACATAAGTGCAAGACAGAAGTGAAAATAGGATAGGTTTTTTGTGTGTAAATGAGGGGTGTGGTTAGTTCATCCGATTGAATCAAAGTCCCCAAAATGTATTCATATATTAAATGTTATTTTTTACTTGATTTTAGATCAACATTATCAATCTTCTTATGACAATTGTCAATGAAGTTCTCTATTTACGCCTATGCTTGTAGTACTTGTACCTGTATAATGATATAATATTGACAGATTTTTGTTTATTTTTAAGTTGTAGGTATTGTTAGTAGTGTATTATTATATCTACAAATGAAATGGCGTATTTAGTCACAATTATTGGTACCTAATGCATTATTAAGTAGTTTACGTATGGACAAGTGTATATACAATTTGTTATGCGTCAAGACAACAATAATATAATATTTTTTTTATGGTAAATTCTATTTTTCTCTTATTTTAACCCGGGAACGACTGGGAATATTATACATGTGATTAATTAATGTGGCAAGAAATAATGCATTAAAAATAATATAATTGAAATGTATACAAAATTTCACATCAGCAGTAGGTTCATCAAATTAGAAAAAAATTGAAAATTTTACTTTTTCTTCACAAAATATTATAGTAAGAAATTTTTGTAGATAAACGATAGGTATACATAATGATTCCGGTGATATTGAATTGAGTCCATGCTACTTTTATGTGTATTAGAATTGAGTCCAGCTTATTATCTTAATATCTTTGAATCGAATTCGTATAGATTTAATATCATACGACTACCTATATAGCCGGTGACGACTTTGAACTTCGCACATCATAATATTATACCAAATACGCAATGATAACGGATATTCGTCAACGGCCCGGTGATATATACTCGTTCAAAATAAACCAGTCGTGTCGAAAACTTTGTGAACACACAATTAATTAATACTTACTTAATTACCAATTACGAAAGGAAAATAGAGTGTATGTTTAGATATTCACCCGTAAAATAATTATTTCTCCTCAAACAATTTTTAATATTTTGTTATATTTCCAAAAAAAAAAATAAAATAAGTATAAATAATTTTCTAAATTATTATTTTCAATAACTGTCGATAAAAAATTATTTTCTAGGTAAAAAGTACATTTATTTATTACTATTTTTAATATTTTTAATTAATTAACTCTTTATAATTATTATTACAATTAAAAAAAGGGTTTCAACTCCAATAACCCAAAAGTATTTGCGAGACTCGATTCAATGTTATCCAATGATTCATCAACCCCCGTTTTACCTACTGCACCCCCATGATAATTTTCATTTTTTCTTTAATAATGAAATTTTAAAATCCTGATTTTAAAATATACCAAGAACACTTATTTTCTAATATGTTACTGTTCAAAAAGAAAATTGTCATTTGACAAGTAAAAGTTTGCATTTTCACAGAATCCTCCTTAAATACCTATAGAACAAACAATTTCAAAAATTTGAAAATTATCTTTAAGTATATTTAAAAATTTCAAAAACAGATTTTGAATAAATTGAACATTGATAAAAAAAAAAAAAAAAAAAAAAAAAGACGAGCATTGTTGTTAAATCACTTTATATGTTATATATACAGGTCCTAAGATTTTAAATTTATAAATTCAATATTATCTTTTAGATTATAAGTAATACATAGGTAGATATTAATATATTACCAGTGTTTGGAACGTTCACTAAAATAGTAGGTTCATTTTCAAAATAAATTAAACGCATTTATTAAAAAAAAGAACGCGTTCATTACACATTCAGTGTGACCTGAAAATCCTTAGATATCAAACATTATTAATAATTATTGTGGACCTTATTTTCTAAGATACTAGACGGTAGACCAGTATTAAAATAAATACATTTTTTCATCAATTTAGGATAGCCAAAAAGAAACTTAAAATCTGAATTATTTTTTTTGCAAAAAACTATCTAGTTTATCAATCTTGTTTCATTTGTTTTTATTTTTTATTTTTTGACATTAAAAAAGAGTCTTCTTCAGCATTATCAACATCGTCAACCTGGCTATCTTCTAAGCTTTCTGAATTGATTGTTGTGAATGGTGTAGTAATACCGTATTGCTTTACATAAAGGCGGTTACTCAAACTCATCATCATATAACACCTAGTCACGAACATATTTTACACAATTCGCCTTAACTACAGCAATTTTTCCGAATGCAATGTGCCTTACTCAATAACTTTATTGTCTTACATTTGTTATTAGTTATCAATTAACAAAAACTTTTATTTTATTAACCACTTTAACACATTGTATACGAGATTCGAGAATTTATTTATACTTCAGTTATATGTTTTTACCGTTGTCGAGCTGCACTATAATAACTAATAATTATTATGAATACAGTTACATTGTATAATTAATTTTGATAACATAGAAAGAATCATCATATTATAGTAAAATAATCGTTTTAACGTCGCTGTGTTACATTATAATTTCTAACACTCTTAAAATTTTATTATTTTGGTTGTCCACCGCTAACTAATTATTATTGTTTGTGTCCTGTCCCTGTGGTATTCTAATGTTTTTACTGACAGCCGATAGATAGCGTTGGTGGACAAGTCGTTTGCTGACGTAATTTCATCGTCATAGTTGGGAGCTTTGAATGCATTGTAACGAGTGATTTTTGCAATCTGTTTAGATTGCATTGGTCGTGTTTCGGACGAGTATAAACCTAGTATAGATATGCATCTGAAGACTGAAAGAGAGAACACTATAAGTAATTAACACTTACCTACTACATGGTATCGTGACCTGTTTGATTGTATATAGTGAATAGATTTTTAAAACGTGGGTACTCCGGTTCCCTTTCAAATCGTAAAAATCTTTCGCCTTTTACTAAAGATTTCCGTGGAGGGGAGCATTCAAAGGAGTGTATAAAGTAATTTTTATATATGCCTGACGTTCTCGTCGGGCTCAGATTTATCATAAATTCATTATCATATAAGGTAATAATTATACTTGTGTTGTATATATTACATAACAAAGTCCGGAATTGTACAGTGATTTTTGTACACATTGAAAAAGTGTACAAAGTAACTAGATTGTACTAGTTGCGTTATACAGTTCGCGATGTGTACAATAATCACTGTATAAATTCCGAAGTGTACAATTGTTGTACAAGTCATAAAATTTAAAAACATATTCTAAAAATTACAATATAATAACATTAATAACTGTTATGTTTTAAAAGTATTTTCTTAATAAATATTACATATTATTACTTATTTTTGTGATTTGTTCAATGATTGTAGTATAATAATATGTTAAGACCTGGTATATCTATTTTAATATGGTATACTAATAAGTAATAATATGTAATTTAAAAAAAATACTTTTAAAACATAACAGTTATTATATTGTAATTTTTAGAATATGTTTTTAAATTTTGTGATTTGTACAGCAATTGTACAAATTGCGAAATGTACAATTCCGGACTTTGTATGTAACATATATAAATGATGAATTTAATCAGCATCATCCATCTTTCAATTGTTTCTCTTTTAATTAACTAGAATTTTATATTAATAGTGTCATTAATCCGAATATTAATTTGGCCAAGTTCGTTATGATGAAACTGTAAATCGAAAATAATTATATATTATAAAGTGAAACTTTTGTAATGAATACCTCTCAGTAGTGGATACTTTTAAATTCCCCTGAAAAATGTATGTACGTAATTAGGAGTTATAATCTATTAATAGTAGACGTGATCAGGGATACAATTTTAATGAAAAAACTGGAGTGCTTATGCTTCTTTATTTATTTTTATTACGTTATTTTAAGGTCATAGATACATGTTACAATTAAAATCTAAATAAATATGAAACAACTTGAGGGTGCTAAGCTCACCCAAGTCCTCTCCCCAATTCCGTCTTTGGACATGACACTAAAAACTGGAATCTTGATTAAATTTACATTGCATAAATGGGTATAATGTAATTTTTGTTCATATTTTATTATCCTAATGGTTTTATTACTCGACTAATGAAAACTGGATTGGTTACAACAGCTGACCGTTGTGTAAGCACGTACCTATGTTTGTTTATTTAAGATGAACAACAATAAACAAAAAAAATTAAACTTCGAAGAAAAATCGATATTATTAGAAAATTCGACTGGAAATAATACATTATTAAATAATAATGTATAGGTAGATATTATAGGTACCTATTAGATAGTCAATTATAATGAAGACAATTTGAGTGACGAAGAAACCGAATAACCCGATGAAAAATATGAGTAGCAGAAGCGTGCTTAGTAAGGTTTTGGGTATTTATCCCCCCTTTTCCGAAATTTTATCAAATTTAGTAAAAATGTATTATTTAATATTTGTATACATTTGAATTTAACGTTGATTTTAATGAAGTGGTGAAAATTTTCGCTTTAACACCTCAAAGACAAGGGTTTATTCTATAATTTTTTTTTTTTAATATCTAATAATATGACGACAAATTATTATTATTATTTTCAATATTACTATTGAATAATATGACACGATTTGACATATGTATATTATATGAACTATGAATATTACATAGGTACTTGTTAAACTAATATCTAGTAAAATAAATACACTTAAAATACGTGTTGGTTAAAATATTAATCTCCTCCCGTAAAAATTTTTAGGCACGCCCCTGCAATTCTGTTTAGGAAGATATTTGGAAAATCATAAATAATTTAAAAATATATTTTAAATATAATAAAGATACGATAAAATTATCATTAGTCGCTTATTTGAAAATCCTTCGAGGCGAATAGAAAAAAAAGATACTTGACAGATGTTTTTTAATTGCACATAAAAATATATACTCTTTTTAATACATCTATAATAATTAATAAATAATATATTTTATAAAAATGTATATAAATTATATTATAATAAACAATAAATATATTACAGTATAGTATAATAATAATAAATACATTGATGTTATAAACAATACCGATTTTAATGTGTTCATGTGTTACCGGCAATGTGTTGAATCCGTTATTATATAGAAATCCTAGGTATTCTAATACTCTATAGAATACCAAAAATGAGCAGAAAAAGTATAAAATGTAATAAAATGATTAGATATTCTATAAATCATCTAACCTCGAGCAGGAAAAGTATATACAACTTAGATTTTTACCTAGTTACTAACTATAATACTAATAATACTAACTAGATAAGGAACTCGTATATTATTTATGAAGTTCAAGTATCAGTTTCCGCCATTTTGTCGGTTGGCAAAACATTAAATTTCCTATACAAAATGTATTACAAATAACATCGTTTTTAATGGTAAAATATAGAAATAAATAAAAAATGATTTATGTAAAATATTTTTTATTTTTTTTAAACAACAGGTTTAGACATCATAAAATACAATACAACATAATTAATATTTATCATATAAAATACCATATAATGCCAACCGAAAAACTTGGCTTCAATTGATAGCGGGAGTTCGCTATCTAGTTCTATATAGAAATCCGTGTACCTAGTGTGCCTCTGTAATCAACGATTAATGTTTTTCTTGACGATTATGCTATTGCATACAACACGTGTGCGATGTATTATCGTTATTATTAGCTAATCATTGTATCATGTTATTCGTGTATACGGGAAAATTCAATATACATCTTTAAAAATATTATTTCTTTTCATTTTTGTAAAAGTGTTGGTCGTATTAAGATACATTAAAATGTCTGATCGTGTTTATATTGAACTAAAGAAAAGTCAAAAAAGTCGAAAAATACTGTTTATTTATCGAATGATAAATTGAAAAAGTTAACCTAAAAAATGCTCATGTGTAAAAAATAATATTTTATATAGTTCTAAATGTTATGCATCAACTATATACTGCAATAAATAAATAATAAATATATTTTGATTTACCAAATTACCTAACATAGTACCTATAGGCATTCTATAGAAATCCTAGAAATTGTATAGAATCCCTACTCCCTAGGCATAATATAAATTACCAATCAAATTTAATACATTGTTAAATAGTTCAAGGAATTCTATAGAATTCCTAGGGAATTTATTAAGTGTCTAAATTCACCACTTTGCCGGTAACATGTGTATATAAGATATAACCAATGTTTTTTGTATGTATTTTCTACATTTCTTTTCTTATAATACCCTTTTCAGCCGGCATTTTTTAATTTCTTATGATTGTCGACTATATAAATGTTTTACTGTAGTACCATTAAAATATTTTGTATAAACTATAAACTGTAAAGGAACTCAATATTATTAACGCTTGCGAGTAAGATATATATATATATATATATACAATGACCGTTTTTAATGAGTTAACTGTATGAAAACGCCTATATGTAGATCTTAAAACCGTCAATTCGTATTACTCAATTTAATAATAATAATTATTGTAATTATTCATGGATTATTATTGGAACATGATAATGATTTTTAATTAATAATAATACATTCAACAGTGTTATAGTTTTTTTAGACTGATAAATGGCTTGATAAAAGAATCTTTTAAATTATTCATAATTCATGAATTTATGATAATAATGATTTACTAAAAATACTATCATTAATTCGTAAGCCATAATCATAATTACTCGTATTAATTATTTTATGACAACAGTTAAATGTTAATATAATAATTATTGCGAGTACACAAAAATTATTATTCATATCATTAATAATAATATCAATATTATAACTGTTCGTGACTTTTTTTTTTTTTACAGAAAAACCTATTTGTCAAACATTAGTGTAAAGTATAATAACTAGAGTAAAAACAATTTTAGTAAAGAAGTCTCACATTGATGACATTTTTAAATATAAATTTATCTCAAGATTTAATTATATTTCAAATTCTAAGCGAAATTATGATTACGACGACGAGTTTTATTATTGTATCTGTAGTCGCATTTTAGTAAAATTGAGTACTTAAAGACTAAAAGTGTTCCAATCTTCTACTATAATACTTTATTACTTTAACTACTCGTATATTGCTTATTATGATAATCTAATGTCGATTTTTCTAACGCGTAGATGGCACTGCATATTTTGTTTTGTCTCAATAATTCTCGTTTCATGTTTATATTTGTCGACATCTTATTTATATTGTTTGATTATTTGTACCCTTCACCTTTTTTTTGCCCTTCAACTTTGTGCAGTGGATATTTTAGAGGCCCTAACGGACTGATGCCATGCGTCGATTTAATGATGCAATTGACAGCTATTGAAGTTGTCTGCTGTAATAATTTTATTATTATCTAATAATTATTATTTATTATTGCCAATTTAATGCATACAATTTATTCATCGTTCCAAACTTAACATTTCATGCCGCTACGTCGCGATCAGTGCTTTTACAGTGTTACACATTTCGTTAACATTTTGGTATATATTTTATAATACTCTGTTCTGTGTTTGGATTTATACACATCATGGGTTCGATGGAAGTAATATTAATTATAAGAAAATGTATTGTATAGTAAGAATTTAATATGTATGTAGCTACTGTTGACTGCTGATTAGTTTTAAAACAAAATATTGACATTGAACGCCGAGTTGATCGATATTCTCGAATTCGCAATAATTATTTAGTGGAGTAACGTAAGGCGCGCGCAGAGTTTCAATTTTCAAATATATCAATTTGTCATTGATTAATACTATTTGTATTTACTTTCATAGATATTAATTAAGTACCCAACATTTGAAGGCGTAATGTTAAAGTCGCGAAACACCAAACAACATTTTTACTGAGATCTATACGTTAAACCGGTCGAATATTTTTAGTTTTTTGTGGGTAGTAGGACTACCATTTATTTAGATGATAATGTAATGTACGTATATTATGTATTAATTTTAATACTTTATTTTAGCAACATAATAAATTTTAAAACATGCCTCTTTAACATAAGTTATAATTACTGTACACATAC